AGGCTGATAACCATTGTCGTGTCAACCGAGGAGGCAAGCCAGGTGACCACCTGTGCGTTACCCGTGGTCCAGACAGCAATGTCCGCCGCCGGAGAACCAACAACTGGTCGTGAGGATTGACCTGTCAAGATAGGAAGCAATCGTCTTCCTTCCACAAAGTTACGAAACTGAAACTCCCACAAAGGGAAGTTTTTGCCATCAAACTTAGCCAAAAAAACATCCATCCTATTAGAATCCATGATGCAAACAAGAGAAAGATGCAACCTAATGCAAAAGCGAGAAGCTGGGACGAGAAGCTGAGTGAAGAGACCCGAAAAAATCCACCTGATGAAGAAAACCGAAGAAGAAAGCCCTAGCGCCGACGGAGAAAAGGACCACATGTTTGCGGGAGACGAGACCGATGCGATGCGTTGTTGGGGACAAGACCATAGAAAAATACCCCTTAGCAGAGCGCGACGAACCAAAAAAGAAGCTGCGCCAGAAACAATGGCGCCGAATATGCTTGGCTAAAAGATCAACCGGTGATCAGACAATTACCTCGTGAAATACTATTGCGAAATCTCATATCGCAAGCTCTGATACCATGTCAAATAATCTAAGCAGAAAAGAAGAACACCAAAAAATTTAACGTGGTTTCGTCAGTATGACACTAGTCCACGGAGAGGATCTCCCTCTCAGGTTTTAGTCTTTCTTATTTCGTTAGTTTTTACAGATACAGTGGCATATATACATTGGTACATAAACTACTATAAATCAACACAAACCACGTATTAAGTATAGTAATCAGATTGACATTGTATACAAAGAATACTAACAATAAAAAAATCACTACTTACAATATAAACTTATATAAATATACAAACTAATACAAAGTATATATATAAAATAATAAAATTATATAAAGTTATACAAACCACGTCATTAAACTATAAATCATACTTATATTGTATACAAAGCATACTACTACTTCAGCGACGACTCATGCGGAATGATGGTGCTTGTCGGCAACACAAGCCACGATAAGTTTAATCTAGATTGCACTCCCTTTCTACGGCAGCGGACGATGCTACGTGGGTAGAGGCCAACGGTAGTGATGGAGAACTTGGTGACTCGGTGGTGCTCAAAACGATAATGGCAGGAGCGACTACCCGAAGTTCTGGAAGCGAAAAAGTAATGGTTGATAGAGCTAAGGAATCGATCGAGACAATTGTCGACAATTCTGGATAGGAGTTGGTCGTGCGATGACGACCTGAAACTCAATCGAGTTTCGCCTTCAAAATCTGGGCTAGTTCTTTCACGGAGAGTTCTTTTTCCTAAACCTTATGCCGAACATGCTCCGATACCATTGTTACAAACACCGTGATCTACGGTTTCTTCACGTCAGTTTATGAGATTAGGAATCAAATTGAAATAGGGATTGAAAGATGTAGATAGAGAATTAGAAATTGTAATGAGAATTGAGGATTGAGAATTGAAGAACAAAATTAGGGAAGAAATGGAAGATTGATGTGCGGACGAGACTAGGAAAGAGAATATAGAGTTCAAAGGATTTGGGAGAACAGAGTTAGGAGATTCTTTTCTGGTTGAACTGTTTTGATAGTTTCTAGTGTAAAGTACATACTTATAAGGTCATCGAATAGTATCAAATTATAATCTCTTACATCGACGTAACCCCTTGCACACTCAAGGTGTGGGAGAAACACGGAAAAAATTCAAAACTACCATGGTTTAAAAAAAAAAATTACAAAAATACCACTCACTCCAAAGAATTTCCAAAAATACCACCCTTAATTTAAAACCGCCCCCCTGATGAGCGGTTTTCAATGAAACCGCGCCTCTAAGAGGCGTTTTCCTATCTAACCGCTCCTTGGAGGAGCGTTTTTATTTTCTGGAGTAAACCGCCTGTGCGAGGCGCGGTTATAGGGTAAACCCTACCAGAAAACGCTGGTAGAGGGAGCGTTTTATTGTCGGCAAGCAAACCGCCTGGGGAAGGGGCGGTTTACATTGTCAGGACACAAACCGCTCCTCTGGGGCGCGGTTTGTGCCTGGTCACCCGACATCCGACATGTCGGCATGCAGGGGTAGGGCTGCATGGCAGACCCAAAACCGCTCCCCCCCCAAGCGGTTTTGGTGCAAAATTTGCCTATAAAAGGCTGTTTCGGAGAACACAATTCTTCACACTTCCTTCCTCAATTCACACTTCCTTCCTCAAATTTCAGCTTTGCACCTTTAAATTATTTAGTTTTTGCGATTAACGTTAATTCGTAAGTTTGTTTCGTAATTACTTTTCATTGTCTTTGTGATTTTATGTTAGTAACTTAATTACTTTTGATTGTCCTTTGTGATGTTATGTTAGTAACTTAATTACTTTTCATTGTCATTTGTGATTTTATGTTAGTAATTTGAATTACTTTTCATTGTCCTTTGTTTATTAGATAATGTATATTTGTTGTACAATAATTTACATAATTGTTAATCGTATTGATTATTTTCAATAGTTTAAATCAATACAATACAACACTTATTGAGACTCTTTATAAAGAAATGCATGTCTAAGGAAATGGGGACTTAAGCGATCATCATGATCCCCCCATGACCTGGGAAAATCGGGTTCTAAGCGATCCTCGGATCCCCCCTTTTTCTGTCAAAAAGACTGTGTTTCTAAGGAGATGTATACCTCTCCTAAGAGTCTTACGAGTGTACTTGTATTGCTTTAAATTATTGAAAATAATCAATACGATTAACAAAATAATTTTTATGTTAGTAACTTGTGTTACTTTTCATTGTCATTTGTGATTTTATGTTAGTAATTTGAATTACTTTTCATTTTTCTTTGTGTTGTTATGTTAGTAACTTGTGTTACTTTTCATTGCAGATGGCATTCCAAAGGTTCACGCTTGGGTTGCGGTGGAATGGTTACACGGAAGAGACCGAAAAGGGTGTAAGTTACGTCGGTGGCAATTTTCATAAAATGAAGGTCCGTACGAGACCGATGCTTGAAGAGCTCCACCGAATGTGCACTCAGATTACCTGCATGGATGGCAGTAGAAGAGTTGATCGAATGGTGTATCGATATCCAAACAGACATGACGGGTCCCTGTGGCATGAGGAATTCCTCCTTAACACTCAGGAGGACGTTGATGCCATGGTCCAATTTTTGACCACCAATACAATTAAGCAAGCGGAGATGTTCGTTTACACCGAGGCCGTCGAAGGCAGTGTAGGTCATTCTGAAGATGGCCAAACATCTGGTATCCACGGTGGGAGTGTATTATACGAAGATACTCCCCACCAGGATTTCCAAACCTCGAGTTGGAGTCAGGAGTATCATCATGGAACTGGAGGAAGTCATCAATCCTTCCATTCATATGAACAAGAAGCTCAACAGGCGGATTACAACCAACAAGCAGTCTACCAGTACCCACCCGAGTACAACTTCTATCAAAGCGGTGTTAGTTACCACAACTACCATTACGGAGCTAGTGGAGGTCAAGGTGCCTTTCATGCTGAAAATCAGATGGAAGAAGAGGTCAATCCAAGTCCAGTTAGTGACCATGAGGTTGAAGAAGAGGAAGGCGAAGTTAGTGCAGACAGCTCCGATCCGCTGGAAGGTGCTGATGATTCCGGTCCAGATTCAGACGCAGATGGTGATGAGGTACCTCACGACCGTGTACCTATTCCATACTACAATCACATTCAAAGTGAAGATTGGTATGTTGATGCCGACATGGACCCGCCAGATGTGCCATTATGGGGTCCACTAACTGGCTTTACGAAGGGCCAACAATTTGCAACGAAGAATGAGGTTCGACACGCTATTTCCACTGAAGCAATGACTCGGAGTTTTGAATGGCAGACAACCCATTCCGACACAAAGAGGCTGATGGTTCGATGCAGAAACCACAATGAGGGATGCACAGCTAGGGTCCGGGCCATCAGGAGCAAGAGAGTCGGTCATTGGGTCATATCCCGTGCGGTGAACACACACACATGTGTGTCATCAATAGCATCACAAGGCCATCGACAGTTGAAATCAAGGGTGGTTGCCGCGGCTATCAAACATCTAATTGAGGAGCAGCCCGACCTGAAGGTGAAAACCATCATCGCCCACATTTCTAGTCGTTAAGGTTAGAAATTGTAGTCCTTAAAAAGTTATGCGAAATAAAAAAAAATTTCATGCCGTTTGGATTTTGGAGCACAAAGTTATGGTTGTCCAAAGTTTGACGAAATCGGAAAAAGCTCGTTCGGGGTAGCAAACGACATTTTTTTGTACGAAGGCGAGACCAAACTACCTTTGGCAGTCTTCGACTTGCAAGATCTCAAAAAGTTATGCGGAATCAAAAAACAAATCGTGATGATCGGATACCCGAACATAAAGATACGTTCGTTTGAAGTTTATTAGGATTTTTCAAAAAAAAAAAAAAAAAAGGCAGAACACACCCTAGGGGACAGGGGGAGCGGTTTGCAAAAAAAAAAAAAAAAAGCAGATCGCACCCTGGGGGTGCGGTCTGCAAAACCGCTCCCTACCAGTGCGGTTTTCATCAAAAAACGCGCCCTCGGGTGGCGTTTTCATCGAAAAACGCACCTCCGTGTGGCGGTTTTACAAAAATGGTGCTATTTTTGAAATTTTTCGGAGTTAGGTGCTATTTTTGGAATTTTTTTTTTTAAACAGTGCTATTTCTGGAAAAATCTCCTTTATTTGATAGAGAGATAGATTCTATCATTTCTATGTAAAGTTGCAATGAGCTACACAGACTGCAGCGCATAAACCAACACAAGAATACTAAGAATAGTGTGAGGTACATACAAAGTTACAAACTGCTGCCTGAACATGTTGCAGTTGCAATAAGTAGCCAATACTATTTCCATCCAATTGCTCTGCATAACATCCCATAATGTTCAAACCACAATACGTACAAGAAAAAAGAATCTTGGGCCAAATGTCCACGCAAGTACCATGTTGATTGAAAATCAGTAAAGGATCTTGGTTGTACATACCAACTAAGAACCAAGTAAATGTCGGGTATTAAAACAAATCTTTTAGCTCATCTCAGCAATTCTTTGGTTCAAGTAACACTGGCAGAGAATCCAGAAGCATCAAAACTAAAAGAGGGGAAAAGGAAAGAAGTTACGCTTGGATCAATGAGCTTCCGGAGTAGGGCTATTAGTTTGGGGTCTGCCCTTTTGGCCAAGGGTGATGGGGATAACCTTGGCTGCTGCTACAGCAGAATCTCCTCTCTTGACGACTTTCTCCATCTCTGCAACTTTCTCAGACAGCAATCTAGCGTTCGAGTTGGTGGATTGGACCAATTTGTTTCCAGTTTCCACAGCAGTGCAAAGCTGGAACCATGCCAATTGTATCGAGTCAAAAACCAACACATAACATAATTCCTTGCTCCATTAGGAAGAGAGGGGAAAATGAGTGGAATGCATTAACCCAAACCTTTAGAGTCAAGGCCGTCCATGCAGGATCACTCCCTTCTAGTGCCTGGTTCAATTGTTCGTAGTTTTCCTGAAACATAAAGTTCAACCGAACCGTAAGGAAAATGAAATATTTAAGAGTCGCGGTAGTGCGGATTGTAAATCGAGAATCGTTTCCCAGAGCAGGAGTTCTGGGCGCAGAAAGGGAAGAGGGAAAGAGGAGAGAACCTGGAAAAGCTTGGGTAGGTCCGTTGGTTGTAAATGAAGCGGCGGAGAGTGGATGGAATCTGGATCCTCCGCACGTGGAGAAGACGAAGACGAAGGAGGAGGATGAGGTTGATCGTCTTCGTGTTTCTCTGCAAGATCGCTCAGCAAATCGCCAATGCAAAGCAGCGGTCCGCCCACCCCTCTCATCATTTCTAAACCTTTGGGAAATTTGGGGGAGAAATTGGATGCAACCGTCCAACCGACAGTCGGAGATTCCTCCTCCCAACAAAGCCGCCGACGACGACAATAGGAGCAGCAGTAGAAGAAGCAGAACTGCAGAAGACGATGGTGGTGGTGGTCGGACGACGGAAACAGCTGATAATGGTGATTTGAATAGACGAAGGTAGTCGAATCTGCGGATTTTTCTTTTGGAGGAGGGATAGAGATTAGGGATGGCAACATAAGTACATAACTCGAACTCCCGGTTTCCTATTCGACCCAATCCGCATTTACGGGTTATGGGTCGGGTCGGGTCGGGTCGGGTTTAAACTCGTTTACTATTTTGCGAGTTGTGTTGGGTTCGGGTTTAGCTATATCAAACTTCTATTCTACTTTATATTTTTCGGATGTGTTTATTCGTGTTCTGGTCTAAATTTTCTTGTATGCTTGAAGATAATTGTGGTCTATACAGGTTTTTCTCTGATAATTTTAAAAAAGACAAACGTGCTCCTTTCTTTAAAATAAGCATTAAACTACAGTCAATCCTTTCAATATGTAAAGTCGGCAAAAGAAAATGTTTATCTCTTGGTTAGTGTTAGCACCATTTAACAAGTTCGGTGTTTCTCTAAAAAAAAATGGTTCGGTGTTAACACTCGAACCTTGACCATTTCACACAACCAGAAGTTGGGAACCATCAAAAGCTTGCTTCCCATCCTTGTTCTCAAAAGTGGTTTCTTTTATATCCAAAAGTGTGTCACCAATTGAAGTACGAAACAACTTAGGTTGAGTTGCCAAACCACCGTTGTTACAGCAAAAAAAGAAAAGAAAACTAAATCAGGTTTCAGTTTCTAATTTTACGTGCGAAAATAGAAACAAAAAATGATACTAAATGATCGTATTATTCCAATAAATTTACTTCTTCACACCAGTTATTAAACTAAAATCGAAAAATTATTTCCCAATTTCTTTTCTGCAACGGGACTAATTTTAGGAATCCCGTTTTGGCAAATCCATACCTATCGTGCAACATTGAAACTATAATGAACTATTTGTTCAATTGAAAATAACCAAATTCATGTCTAAATCCAATTCGGGTAGTTAACCTCCAAACAGCCCAACCCCAAACCACCAGGTTTTTACCTCTTTCTTAGGTTTTTAATAGATTTTTTTTTGCCAGGACTTGAATCCGCGTCACTTTGATCAAATATCCTAATCAAGTGCTACATTGAATAAGTTTTATTTTTCAATTGAAAATAATGTGAATCTTGAATTAGTATTTGTTTACACACTTATCGTGTAGTCGTAATATTTTCTTGCAAATGGTAAGTGATCAATTTTTTCTGTAATTATTTGGTATTATTCAGTGCACCTTCGATCAAATTGATCCAATGTCAAAAAAGTACATGTCAACATCCAAATATCTCATCCTTTACAAAGAGCACTTTTAAACAAAACTATTAAGCACTATACAGATTATAAAAAAAAATCTATCTAATCTCACTATCAATATGTACTATACCAAACATGTACAACTTGAATTCCAACTATTGTTGTGAGAACAAAGTCTGTCATGTCTTTCCAGGAGGACCAAAAACTCGATTGCACCTCTCCTTCGAGAAGAGATCTACCATCCAGCACCAAATCACACTTCTTACTCTTTCTAAAGCTCCATCAGAGTTAGCGAGGTTGCACATATGAGAAAGAGAAGCATCACAATCAACAAGCAAAGAGTTGTTAGCTTTCTAAACATTGTTGTCACAAGTTTAGTAGTGTAATGACGCAAAACAAATTATATCTTGTCTCTTTGTTGAATTGCAGATGACACGAGTATCCACAGTAATCTTATCCCATTCAAAGTGATTGTCTCTACTCTCTAGTGAAAACTCAATTCAATATAATTAACCAAGCCAGAAAGCTATTTTTGGGAATATGAAATTTACCCTTAACCAGTTTCCCACATTGGACTAGTGGATGTTTAGGACATATAGATTCTCAAATAAACTTGACAGAAAATCTAGTCATCGGTTTGTGTTCCCAACTCCCAAGTAGTCGCTTCATTATCCACAGACATTCAATATAAGAACAACATTCTCAGTTTCAATTATCTTCTCCAAAGTCAGGATCCTGCTGCAGTGTCCTATAACTTCCAGATTGATCTATCACTCAGACTGTATTGTTGAATCAAAACAACCCAGAAGCTACCACTTCTCATTAACAATAGCTAGAGAAGTCTGGCAGTACAAGCTGTGTTCGAGGAGGTTGAGTGCCTTTAGCATAAACCCTCTTTCAAGATTGGAGTAGCTATAGTTACCAAGTAACCTTGGCATTACCAGAGCCATCCCCAAAACAAAGGATATCAAAACATACTTTCTCAATATTTAGTAATTATTAGGAAACACAAAAATGGACATCCAATATTGCACCATTGAAAATTAAAATGATGAGACAAATTGTAATTTTCCAACATAAGTCAATTTACCAGCTCTCCGTTACCTTATCCTACTGGTTAACTTGTCCACAAGAACATTGCATTGCCTACTTGACATTCTCCCTGAGATTAAAGGTATACCCAAGTATCTCACATGGAGTTCACCTTCACTAAAACAAATAACTCTAAGAGCGTTACCCTTGAAGTCAATTGAAGATCTCTAAAAAACATATCATTTGTTCGGATTACAGTGCAGACCCGACAAGACATATAATTGATGCAGAATTTTCTCCACGCAACTCATAGCATAAGCATACCCTTAAGTTAATATTGTCAAATCATCTGTAATTTTTTTTTTTGTGTTAACCTTATTTTCTTACATTGAGGATGTTAAGGCAAGAGTGATTTCTTACATGGAGAAAAGAGCATTTCTTGTTGCATCAACTTTTACAGCTTCACATAGTTTACTTCCTGCTTCTCAATTAAGTCTTTGAGCTACGCATGTCTAAAAACGTCGCTCATCAGGGTACACATTTATAGCCACTATTTCAAAGAGGTTTTGATAGAAATTATAGCTTCTTGCACAATTTCCTTAGCCTTGGTCACCACTTCACCAGTTGAGAATACAAGCTTGTGAATCTGCTTTCTAGTTGTCCTGATTTTTACAAAATTGTGGAAGAATGTTGTGTTTGCATATTCCAACGTAAAAATACTGAGTAGCTACCCTTTTATAATGGTGAAAATGCATTAAATGAAAACAAGGTTCGATACAAACTGAAACAAGCCAACTTCACTAGGATTGAAAGAATGGCAAAAAAACAAACACAAAGACAACAAGCAAACGCAAGAGAGAAAAACAACACCAAAGCACACAAACCATCTGGAACGCAAATAACACCCAACAGCTCTAACTAAAACATGTTCGAAAGGAACCAGAGCAAATCGATCAGGAAATGAAACACAATAGAGCTCGATTGCTCCAACACCCTAGCTTTCACAACCTTCAAGCCAACACGCAAATGTCTGAACAATTCGTCGTCCATAGTATCACAAGCCAAGTCAAAATCTGGTGACGTTATCGCACAACAATCTCTACCCCATTTCAGCCCCAAGTAGGAGAAGCAAAAGGAAAAGAGAAGTTTGTTGGTAGGAGGGATCAAATCCTTCCAAAACTCTCATTAAAACCACAGTCTACTAATAATTTTTTCAATGTTTTCATGAGCAATAATCCACTCAATGATCGATTTACAGGCCTTCCAAGCAACCACAACCGCCGGCACGCTACTGAAAGTGAAGATGCGTTGCTTACCTTCAAGCCAAACGTGCCAACATACTGAATGAAGAGCACAAGACAGAAGGAATCAAACTGTTAGAAAGAAACATCATGTCCTCCTCTAGGATCAATATAAGCATACTTCCAGAAGGAATCAAACTCCTTCAGAATATTGGCACAAACCAAACTGGAGAATCTTCCCCGAGAACGACCAGTATGCCAAGAGGAGGCATTGTTGGGGGTACTTGATTGCAATGAGATTTCGCCACCACCCATCTCTATCAACAACGTACTGCCAAAGCCATTTGGATAAAAGAGCACTATTGAAGTTGGCAAGATTAATAATGCCAAGCCCCCCATTCTCCTTTGAAATCTTGCAAACGTCCCACTTAATCAAGGGAGTCTTGAAGCTATCCCCAATACCATTCCAAAGAAAGCATCTTTGTGTCTTCTCAAGTCTGTTGATTACAATCTCTGGAGCTTTAAGAAGTGAGAAGCAGTGGACCGGATGGAAAGAATCGAGTTGATGAGAATCAGTCTCCCACCAAAAGAGGCTCAAACCGAACTGTTCCTTCTCATAGCTTTAATGAGAAGGAACTGATAACACTTACATATGCTTTTGCTTCATTGTTTCATCTGCTTCCATAGATCTTATTGTTATGTCTGAAAAATGATTTTATTAAGCTGCTTCAGTTTCACCTTTGTCGCATTCAACTTCCTTCAAATTTTTACAGAGGGTCCTCATAGAATTGTTTATGCCAACTATTTGGATAATGGGATAGTATTCTGGCTTAGAGAGACACATACTAAAGAACTTGAAAGATTTTGGGTAAGTTTTTGCTAGTATGTTAGGGATGACATAGACACCATATTGGTCTGAAAAAGCAAAGCATTTCCTTTCTTGTCTCTCGATTTATCAATTTATCTTTCAATTTATTTCTACTTGCATATATATTATTCATTATCTGCTTGTCTTCACTGATTCCCAACAATTATTTTTTCTTATTTTGGATTCACAAAAGGAATAAGATTTCTCAAAATCTCAAAGAAGATTTTTAATAAGATAACAAAAAAAGGTTGTTTCTTGGTGTTGGCGATGCTGGATGGCTACTCCATTGGCAACGATTAGGGTCGGCGATGTTGGGTGGGGATGATGTAAGGTAGACAACAGTTTGTTGGTAGTGTGTGTGGAGGCCCATAGACTGATAGCTCCCGTACTACACATGTATAAAATTTGTATAACACATTTTATATATGTATTTAATGAAATAAATTGACAATTTAAATTTATTTAATTTAGAAAAAATTAATTTCATATATATTTTTTACTATTGATGTACTATTAGATGTATCATCAGTTTCAATACAAAGTAAATAACCATACATATTTTACATGTAGTTTACCCGTACCGTATTTTACTAATTATGCGAAGGAGCAAAGAAAAAGTGGGAAAAGTTGGAGCCCCCATCTTCCTCCATATACAAGGTAGACAATCCTAGGGAAGAGATCCTGTGACTAAGGGTGGGTGCTTAGTCATTTGACTAA